AAAGTACGGTGGTAACTCCGCCATCATTCATCTGTTATTATTCTACTCACCACCCGTTTTTACTTCATTGGCGCTGCGACTTTCATTCGAGCCTGCGCTTGGCTATATTTTTCCGTTCTATTGTATTTGTATTTTTCGTGTGTGTATTTCATTGCTGTGCAGTGATTCGTGATTTTACGGAATTTTCCGTCGCACGTGTCACATTTTTGAAGCGTGGGCAGCCATCTTGTTCTGAATACATTTTTGGTTCGCCGTGTGTAGCGTGTGCATTGTGTTTACGTTTTCGTGTGAGCTCTTTCGAGTGTTCGCGCTAGCCTGGTATTACCAGGCGTTTGGTGTGTTTTGGATTTATTTTACTGTTGCGTGTACCTTGCTTTATTTTCCATTCTTATAACTCGGCATAGATTTATTCTACGCCGGTTATTTTTGTCTGGCATTTCACATATATTGTTCTAGTTTGTTGGATGCTGTCACTTTCGTGTCAGTATCAAATTGCACTTGCATTTCTGTCTCTTTCGAGTCCTCTCCTTTTCGTTGAAAGAAAAGTTGAGAAGGGGACAGAGTAGTTAAGAATTTCTGTCTCTTTCGAGTCCTCTCCTTTTCGTTGAAAGAAAAGTTGAGAAGGGGACAGAGTAGTTAAGAATAAATTTTAACTAGATAAATTAAATTGAGTTAATGCAAGTGATTTCACTTACTTGCATTTTTCTGTCTCTTTCGATTCCTCTCCTTTTCGTTGAAAGAAAAGTTGAGAAGAGGACAGAGTAGTTAAGAATAAATTTTAACTAGATAAATTAAATTAAATTAATGCAAGTGATTGCACTTACTTGCATTTTCCTGTCTCTTTCGAGTCTTCTACTTTTCGCTGTAGAAAAGTAGGGAAGGGGACAGAGTATACTTAAGAATAAGTAACTAATTATTTTTTATTGAAATTAAAAAATAATTAAGGTAGTTAAGACTTGGACTAAATTAATTAACTAATAAATGTGCATGTGTGTAGTTTTGCTGCATATGTGTACGTGTCATCGTAGGGAGTATTAATTTAATTTATTGAAATAAGCTTGGTTCCAATTTGGGATTTTATAAAGATCTGGAATTTGATCACTCTTTTTGAATTTCTTAACAAGGAGTTGTTAATTTCCTAACCTTGTAGTACCATAGTGGGGTTTACCAGCACTTTGGAGCAGGTTTTCTCGACTAGGTCTACACTACAGTAGTTTCGAGCTTGAGTAATTTGAATTTATTCAAATCTCTTAGCTCAATTACGGTTGGGGATTATTATTATATTAAAAGATTAGTCAGATTTCATTTTATATTTTTGAATTGATAATTCTCTAACTGTGTATTACCATAGTCTTGGTCGTCCGCACTTTGTGAGCAGGTTTTCTCGACTCGGTCTACAGTAGTTGGCGCTTGAGTGATTTGAATTTATTCAAATCTCTTAGCTCAATTACGGTTGGGAATTATTATTTAAGGATTAGCCAGATTTCTTTTTATATTTTTGCATTGCTAATTCTCTAGCCTTGTAGTACCCGAGTCGTGTTCACCAAGACTTTTGAGCAGGTTTTCTCGACTCGGTCTACAGTAGTTAGAGCGCGAGTGATTTGAACTTAGGTCAATCTCTTGGCTCAAGGGTTGGGAGTTTATAATTGAAGGACTTTTCGGATTTCATTTTGGATTCCGACTCGGACCCTTGCATTGCAAAAATAGAGCTTTGTTAGCTAGATTTCTCACAATTAAAAGTAACAGACTTTAAAGTAACTGATTTAAAAATAAGTAACTGAATTCAAAGTAACTGAATTTAAGGAAACTAAACTCAAGGAAACTAAACTCAAGGAAACTAAACTCAAGGAAACTAAACTCAAGAAAACTGAATACAAGAAAATTGAATTCAAGAGATATTTATTCACGAAAACTGAATTCAAGGAAACTGAATTCAGAGTAACTGAGTTCAAAGTAACTTGATTCCTAGAAACTGGATTCCGATTGGCTGGACTCCGATTAGTTGGACTCTGATTAGTTGGATTCCGAGTAGTTGAATTTAAAGTTGTTAGTTGAATTCAAAGTTGTTAGTTGAATTCAAAGTTGTTAGTTGAATTCAAAGTTGTTAGTTGAATTCAAAGTTGTTAGTTGAATTCAAAGTTGTTAGTTGAATTCAAAGTTGTTAGTTGAATTCAAAGTTAAGTTGAATTCAAGGTTAGTTGAATTCAAGGTTAGTTCAATTCAAAGTTGGTTCAATTCAGAGTTGGTTCAATTCAAGGTTGGTTCAATTCAAAGTTGGTTTAATTCAGAGTTGGTTGAATTCAAGTTTGGGTTAATTCAAGGTTGGTTGAATTCAAAGTATATAGTTGAATTCAGAGTAGTTGCATTTAGAGTAATTGAATTTTTAATTCGAATGTCTGTATTAGATTTATGGAGTCAAGAGAAGCCAATGGCTTCCCAAGCTGGTGGAACTGAGGCAGTCGTTTCCAAAGCTCCATCCGAACAAGATGTTGAGCGATTGGTGGAAGCGAAATATAAGGCAGTAATAGAGGCTCTCCAGACCACTCTTCGGAATCAAGGTCAGCAGCGTGTTGCAGCGGAAGCTCCTCCTCCTATGGAGAGGCTTCCAGCTCGACAGAGTTCGCCGCAGTATACCAGATACCAAGATTATCGGCATACTGCCTATCAACGTGATGGTTTTCCTCCTCCACCACATGTGCACCGATCTCAGGATACCCATAGTTCCCACTTATTTCGTGGGGATGGTAACCGTGAGAGGGGCCACAAGTCTGTTTCCTGGCCCAAGTCCATGGTTTTCGATGGCCGCGGGAGTTGGCAAGCGTTCATCGCTAAGTTCAACCTTGACGCTGAGGCGTTTGGATGGACTTTGAGCCAACGAAGGAATCAACTTTGCTGGTGCTTGGGTGGAAGTGCAAGCGAGTATGTCTCATTGCTCGTTAAGCATGAACCTCATCTTGGGTTTGCGGACTTAGTCCGGAAACTGGAGAAGCGGTTTGCGTCAAGGGACGAAGTTGCACAATTGCAATTTAATTACGCGAGGCAGCAACCTGAGGAATCCCATGTAGATTGGGCGAACCACCTTATGACATTGGCTGCTCATGCCTTTGCAGATTTACCGGACCACCATGTTGAAAAACAGGTCGTCCATAGATTTTGCCAAGGATGTTTTGATAGAGAGGCTGGGCACTATGCTATTTATTATTGCCCTAGATCTTTGGATGAAGCCATCGACTTAGTCAGATGGTTTCAGCATACCCATAAGGCAATTCATGACAAATCGCGGAAGGATGTCAGACAAACGTCTGTAGAGGTATCTGCAGAGGAGCCAAGGATTAGCCGTACAGCTACACCTGATCCTCCACAACAACAACCACAACCCTCCCGATTGGACAGGATTGAAGTTTCGAATCTGGAGAAGGAGGTGGATCAGATTCATGGTTCTGTTTCGTCGATGGAGACTCAAGTGAAGAGTTCATATTCTTCAATTGGATCTCAAGTGAAGAACCTTCAATCCACTGTCCAGGGACTCGTTGTTGTGCAGAACTGTTCTCGAGTCGAGTCTGACTTACCTGAACCTGATTTCGGTCAGGCCGGATTTGACTTACCTGAACCAGATTTGGGACCGTCGAGAAGGGATTTGCTTGCGCCTGATTTAGGTCAGTCCGTGGGAGTGGACCTGCTTGAAGTGGTTTTAGGTCAGTCAAGATTAGACTTACCTCAACTGGATTTAGGTCAGTTGATTGGATTAGAATTACCTGAACTGAATTTTGGTCAGTCAACAAGAGTAGACGTACCTGAAGTGGATTTCGGTCAGTCAACAATAGTAGACTTACCTGAACTGGATTTGGACTTACCTGAATTGAATGTCGGTCAGTCCGCAAGTATTGAGTCTGAACTTCTTTCCGGAGAAGACCCATTGGATGAGGATGTTAATCCGAAACCTGGGTCGTCTCAGTTAGGTACGAGTAAATCAACTCTTCTAGACAAGGGGGGTAGTCAGGATTCGGATCTGCAACCCGAGTGTCCTGAATGTTCTTGGCTTCTCCCGCCTTGGCCTCCTCCTGTTGACGAATCAATTGATGTTGATGTACCTGAATGTTCTTGGCTTCTCCCGCCTTGGCCTCCTCCTGTTGACGAATCAATTGATGTTGATGTACCTGAATGTTGTTGGCTTCTCCTGTCATGGCCCCCTCCTCCTGTTGATGAATCAACGGGTGTCAATGTGCCTGAATGTCCCTGGCTTCTCCCACCATGGCCACCTCCTCCTGTTGATGAATCAACGGATGTCTATGTGCCTGAATGTCCCTGGTTTCTCCCACCATGGCCACCTCCATTTGATGAATCAGCGGATGTGGTTGTGCCTATCGCACAGGATTGGCCAGCGGAAGTGATAGTGTACAAATTAGGTAGCACTTTGATTTTCAGTTGCTCTTGGGATTGCTGGTCAAGGAGAAAGCTGTCATCATCAAGGTACCTCTCTTTCAATTCTAGTTTGTATGGGTTTTGTACCTCTCTCAATTTCTTGTTTGTATGGGTTTTGTACCTCTCTCAATTTCTTGTTGGTATAGGTTTTGGTGTAATGCTTCCATTACCTGTTCACAGGTAATGAAGTTGGTTCTCAGGGGACTAACTTGGGGCATTGCACTTGCCTTTCTGGGACTCCGCATTGGAAGCAGCTTCTTTTCTCACGTGAGAAAACCGGCATCTGTAACCATAACTACACCATCCAGACCTTGCATAGAATTTGCAAACCTGTTTTGGTTGGGGTGATGCTTAGTCTCCTGTGCCAGATACCGGCGTCTTACCATCAGGCTTGGCTGTAGATCCCCGTTCCCTGCTGTGTCCCTCAGGCCGAGCTGGGTGAAGGAATCTACAATTTCGTCCATAGCTGCACCTACCAGATCGGACAAAGTAAAAGCAAACCTTCTCTTGGGCTTGTTTGCTTTGATCTTTTGCTGCTGATAATTCTGGCTTGCTTTCACCGCTTGTTGTTTCTTCTTCGCAGTTCTGCTGTCCATCAACGGATAGAGCAGAGAGCAGAGTTTTCTACTACTGCTCCATCTTGGCTATTTCTTTCCGCTGATGAAATGGAATCCGTTGCCTTCGTTGCAGACGAATCGGCTGCTGTAATATCAACAGAAGAGCTATTGGGATTTTCTGCATGATCTGCCCCTGTTCTGACATTGCCTATAGTAGTCGTAGATTATGTAGTTCTGTTAGCCAAGAAGTCAGATTCAGTCTCGGAACCCAGGTCAGGTCATGTTTATAAAAACTTAAGTTAGATAATCCAGGAGATTATGATTATAATTTGAGTCATATCAGAAGAAGATCTTGGAAATAAATTCTTATGGAATGACTAAAGAGTTATTTTCTGTTAAGGGTGACCTGATTTGGAAGAGAGACCAAGAAGATGGCCCAATAAAGTGATTCCTTGTTTATTACAACGGGAAGTGATCTGGTTGAATATGATGTCCCTTCGACCGGTCATGCTGGTGTTAACCCTACCGGGAGTATAATCAGGTCCGGGTATTTCGGGTATGGCATGTCGAGGGATATTAGAGCGTGTGCTCCATGCAAACAGTATAACAAATCTGTTAGATATGGAAAATGCTCCCTGATTGATTATTCTCGACCTGGTCATGCACAGACAACCGTGCTCTTCCGCAGAAGGTAATTCAAGGAAAGGAATTATATTGTTTTTGTAATGGCTAAGGCTATCGATAAGTATTGTTCCAGCATCGGTTCCCCAGCCTGAGCTTTGGCTAGACCGGGGTCGACCTGAGGCGGAACTTAGCAATGGATAGGCTTCTAGTCCATATGGTATTTCATTCCTGTTAAAGCAATCCAGGTGTCCTTGAATTATGTTGGCAGGATTTTCTGTTGTTATACAGGATTATCCGTTGTATAAATACAGGATTCTCCGTGGTTGTATAAATACAGGATTCACTGTTGTATAAATACAGGATTTTCCAAATACTCAGTTGTTCTGGAATGTGCATTAGACTCGGTCACTGTACGGTTACCTTGAGTTTAGTGTACTTGCAAAATCATGGATTGTATTAACGGACTGTAACTCTTTATATATTCTGTAACTCTTTATATATTCTGTAACTCTTTATATATTCTGTAACTCTTTATATATTCTGTAACTCAGTGTCCCCCGGTTTGTTATGCTCTAATAGGAGAGTTTTTGAGATTTTGCAATATCTGAGATATATGCTACAATCTAATTAACCGGGAGGAATGTTGTAAAATTGCCTTTTGTAAGCCAAATTATTGTACCCTATTTCGCGGACGCGTAAGTTCATACATGTCTTGGATGCGCTTACGCGTCCGTCCGTCGCCAACCTCTCAAAGACGGGCCTATAAGAGTCCCGGACACGGGCCGTCACCTCATTCTGGATTCTGATGAGCTGTTGACACACACACTTACTCCAGGATCGCTTAGTTTCCCGAATCATGGACTCCCGGCTCACCTCAAGACCCGGGAGTTAGCATGTTAGCTGAGCATCTTCAGCTATGCTGAGCTTAGCTGAAGGACAAGTAGAGATAATATAAGGTTAGTTTAGTGTTTAGTCGGTGTCTTGTCTTTCCTTCTCCATTTCATACATTTCACCGCATCGTAAGTAAAAGTACGGTGGTAACTCCGCCATCATTCATCTGTTATTATTCTACTCACCACCCGTTTTTACTTCAAATATGATTTATGATTGAAACAAAAGGGCCAAGTTAATTATTATGAAATAAATGTTAATTTAGGTCCATTTGTTTGTGGTTTCAATTCAGTTAATGGGGAGAGAATTATCTACTTGCACTTTTTTGCAGGCAGAATAAGTCCCTTCAGCCAAGACAATTAAGCACAGTTATTAACTCTCCATTTCCTCTTGCACTTTCCCCCTTCTCTCTCTGACTCCGTCACAGTCACACTCAAGTCACATTCATTGCGTTGGAATGGAAGTTCTCTCATTTCATTCATCTGTTTAGTTTACAACCGACAATAGTCAGTTCTATTCTTTGGCTCTTTCCCTAAATTAATATTTGCAGCAAACGAAAGGTAGTATTTGGGCCAAGCAAATCAATGCATCGCAGCACAATCATGTTCACCAGGTCCAACTTGTAAGGTAATGGTGATCATGGAAATGGGCGTACGCATACATGATCACTGAACACTACTCACTAGAGTCACGTTTTTGATGCCTCGCGATTGCGACGGGCCAGCACCAGTGCTGCACACACACACACACAAATCATCGTGCATTTCTTTTCCGCTCAAGTTACTATACTACTCACGTTTATACAAGGATGGCAAACAAAACCTGTAACCAGGGTATCTGCAAATCTGTCCTCTGTCTTGGAGAGGGCTAAATATTACAAAAACATTGGCAAACACTAAAGAAAATAACCGCAAGAACACGGCATTCACACCACTTTCCCTGTCACGAGAGGAGGAAAAGGAGTATGCATGTGTAATGTGCGATATTAAATGTCTAGTTACCAATTTAGATAGGATGAAATATTAGCTACAGAAAGTCATTTCAATAGTCATTTACGATTATTTAAAGACAAAATATTAATAAATTAATACTTATTTATATTTTAAGTTGAATAAATTTTATTTATTCAAACATTTAGGCGGTAACTAAGAAAACATTAGTTATGCATTCTAAGATTTCATTAAATTGGCAATATAAAACTGAACTCTTCCCCGATTTTTTTCTTAACGTTTTGATATTGTATGGGTGGAACAAACGAACAGTAAATTGAGGTCTTCTAGAATCTCTAGATTTGTACATTCACAAGAATATTAGCGGCGGATCTTGTCGGGGGGGGGGGGGGGGGTCATTTCCCACGCACCAGCGTCCAAAAAAGGCGTCGGAAGGGTGTCTTTTTCAGCTATACGGAGTAATTTGGAGTAATATGTACCAAATTTTGATTTTGATTATTATTATTATTTTTTTTTTGTATTTATTTATTTATTTTTTTAATTTTTTAATTTTTTTTAATTTTTTTTTTTTTTTTTTTTTTTTTTTTTTTTTGGGGGGGGGGGGGCACTATATAGATCCAGCTGATTTGGCTGGAGGTTTGACTAAATGGGACACACATCCCCTTTACCCATATTTGGATACGCATGATCGCATCTGTATAAAGAATGGCAAAGAAAACAAATTTATTATCAAACATGGAAAGTACGATACCATCCCTATAGGCTATAATGAAAACAGCGCTGAGGAATTAGTCCAATTAAGCTGCAAACAAATCTAAAATCTCTGCGGCACAGGGGCGGCGGACCGACTTCCAAAGGGGGGGGGCACCAACAAAAAGGGCACCTACAAATCTCAAAGCGAAAATATACAAAAATTTTAGACAGTGGTATAAACCCCTACATTATCAGGGATGATTTTAATATTTGTTTCTTTTTATACATCAGACAAGATATCAGAGGTGGTGCTCCGGCCTCGGGGGAGGGGAGGGGGCAGAGGGAAGAGGGGCACCAGTCAGATTATGATAGGGGTATCTATAAAAGGTGAAATGGGGGCATTTATTAAAAGGGGATAGGTTTAATAGAAAGTAAAAGGGGCACGTATTTATTGTAAAAAGGGAAATTATCAGCCGGTGAAAAGGGGCCCTTATCGCACCTGGAAAGGGGCAGCATGACCAGTTTTGAAAAGGGGCACTTATGAGAATGAAAAGGGACACTTTCAATATAGGAAAATGCGTCTTTGTTGAAATTAAAGGGGCACCGATCAAACTTTGATAAGGGCATTTATCGGAGGTAAAAGTTGGCTTTTATGAAAAGGGGGAAGTAGCTCTTATTAAAAAGTAAAAAGAGGAACATGTTAAAATAAACGGGTCACTTATGAGAGATGGAAAAGGGTAATTATGAAAAAGGGATGGGCACTTATAAGAAGGAAAAAGAGAATTTATTAGAAAGGAAAAGGAGCATGCCTCAAAATAAAATGGGCAGTTATTAAAGGTGTAAAGGGACACTAGTAATACAATTTGAATAGGCGCAATTAGCAAGGGGCATTTATCTCAAGTGAAAACGATTTAATTCGCGTACCTTAACAAAGGGACATTTACCAGAAATTGAAAATATAAGGTGCGCTTAGCCGAGTCAACTAAGGGTAGTTATTAAAAAGGGAAGGGGCACCGCTTAAATTTGAATATGGCAATTATCAGAGGTAAAGGGGGCACTTATCAAAAGTGAATACTAGATATTAAAAAGGGCACGTATGAGAATGGAAAATGGACATTTATTGCAAAGGGAAATGGGAACGTGTCGATTGAAAAGGGGCACGTACGTGTCAAAATAACAGGGAACTTATCAGAGGTAAAAGGGGAAGGGGCACTTTTACAAATAAAAAGGGGGAGGGGGCCCGTCTTCTTTTTCATTTAAAAATGGTTAAATTTACCTGTTTTAGGGGCTAGGGGAGGCCCCCCCCCCTAGGTTTGCCACCAGTCATGCTACTTTTCCCTTCTTGTTTGAATTTAATTTCACAACTATCTAATGGTTGGGGTGGGGGTGAAAATTAGTCTCATCAATAAGCCTCATTATCTCTGACAATTTACGCCCCCTCCCCCCCCCCCCCCACCGGAATAAAAACCTATAGACCATAGTGTGCGCGATAAAGGGTAAGGCTTTTCATAATTCTTCAGGTGCTTTTCGGCTCTTAAATTGCTGGGGTAGAAACTCATAATAGGAGCACATTTGATTTTGCAAGGTACCAATAATATTATGCATAGGCCTGTAGTGCCAGATTGATCATGAAACAGAAACAAACATACACGATTTCTTACATTTTTTTTTTGAAGGGTTATAATTTCTCCGCAATATAAAAATGTAAGTGCCAGATTCGCAGAAAAGAAGCAGACAGGTCTGTAATATGAATCAATTTTGTTTAAAGAGCTTTTGGTGACATACGCCCATAGCTGTAATAATTGAGCCTATATTGTGCTAAACCGAATATAACATTTTTCAATTTTCTTCTGTAGAACACCGTACAAAGTAGAGAACATAATCTTTCAGCATCTTCAGCATATGATAAGGCGTTCGTTAGAAACGGAGGGACCGATGTGAAATAGACTAGATCTAGTCATATTATTGGTTTATCTTTGACGACATGGCTTGGTCAGGTGAACAGAAACGAATCGAAAATAAGAAGAAGAATCTTGATACTCGAATAAAATTCAGTTCATGGACTCCGATGAACCATGCACCTACCAAGGACAAGGTTAGCTTACTTGCTTAGAATTGAAGATTTGAAAAGTTTAGTCCCACCTGTTAAGTTACACGTCTGCTGTTGTTGTTTAATTTAGGCAACTGGCAAGTGAAGTGGCAAGTCAGTCAGTTTATGACCATTATTGCCGAATACTATAACAAATTGTTTTGAATTCAAATTTACGTATATACACTCACATATTATGTGTGTAGATCTAGACCCTAAGTTTTAGAAAATTTAGATCTGTGTGTTTTGTTTTTGTTTTGTTAACTTTTGTTATTGTTTTTTTTTAATGCTTGATTGTTATTGTTCATTCATTTGTGTCACTTACATGACATGTATGTAGCCGAGGCCAGAGGGTCCACAGGCTTGATTATGTAATTGCATATATAATTAATGTGCTGAGGCATCTCTAACTTTACTAAAGTTATAATCTTAGTTAAACTTAGGTTAAAGTTTAATGTACTTTTCTAAATTCTATTTCTAAGTCTAACTTACCGGTAGTCATTTTGTTAGTGACTAGAAGGTCTAGTCTAATTTAGTAATGACTATAAAAATGTTTAAACTTTTTACTGAGCTGAGCCTAAGGCTAAGTCAGTAGTCTAAGTGTTTTTATGAAAGTTTGTACAATGTCTTATGTTTTATATCCACAGGTTTTTGAAGAAAGGAGAGAGGTCATCCAAAAATGGGTAATGTACAACTACAAGAACTCTCCTTTCCTACTCCTAGGCTAATATCCTCTCATTTTTCTAAATTAAAATTTGTTGATAGTAGGCATGTGTGTTAATACATATAATTTCTATAATTAGAATTGGAGGGTATAGTTCTACTCGAAGTATATCCAATTTTCGTACTTGGATGAATTAAAAAAAAATATAGTTACATGCTACAAAACAGAAAATAAATTATACCTGTACACTACTTGGCAAACAATATAGAATCCCAGAACAATGGGGGGGGGGGGGGTAGCATTTGTTTTCATGTGCAGGTAGGATAGGTACATTTTGCAAGTTGGATTATCATGCCAACAAAATAAATTCCACTATGATTCCAGCCCGAAGTTAGTTGGGGAAAGCAGGTGAAATATTTTTTTGTTTCATCTTGACCTGTCTTTCTCAAAATCAAGATTGTTATAGGATCAGACCAGTAATGATGAATGAAAAAATCATACATTTTGTTTTGTTCTAGGAGAGCAAGTGCTTTTGGAGGATCTAAGTTGAATTGCCTTTACGTGTTTTTTGTTTCAGTTTGACAAATGGACAGATGGACAGAAGAGGAGTGTGATAGCAGACATCGTGGAGCGCTGTACAATGACCCAGCTTCAGTACACTAAGTCCTTGGTCAAAGTGCAGCTCCCTGTTGAGCGTGTGGACTTCACCAGGGTCTTACCTCGAGCGCTCAGTCTCTATATCTTCTCTTTCCTGGATCCAAGGAGTCTCTGTCGAACTGCTCAGGTGAGTCCAGTTTGAACAAACAAAAACTTGAAACATTTTAAAGATACTTTGGCTCTTACTTGCTATCCAAAACCTTCGGCTCTTACTTGCTATCCAAAACCAGCCATTTTGTTTTGTTTTTAGGAAATCAATTATGGCATTTAGAATCTGAATCTGAATTGAGTGTGCTCTTTTAGATTCTGCTGGTTTATGAGGGAGGGGCGGGGGGCACGGTGAAAAGAATTCTTGTAAATCAAATGCTCAGCACTTTAATAAACATACATGTATTTCATCTTTTACAGAAATTGATTCATCTTGATACTGTACCCACTACTTTCTCTTCGATTTTCTAGAATTATTTTAAAACCAGTACAGATTCTTTATTTTATTGCTGAGATATTTTCAAGAAAGGAGGTCATATAATTGAATGAGGTTCTGATCAATAGAATTATACTACAGTTAATCTTTAATTTCTATAATATAAGCTGTGTTTGTGCTACATTCATGTAAGTCATAAATTTGCCAATACTTGTGTTTGAAAGTAGTCTAAAACATATGATCGTCATCTACTTGTGATAATTTCATACCAGGTTTGTTGGTACTGGCGCTACCTGACTGAGCTGGACCAACTGTGGATGCCTAAGGCACTCAAGCTTGGCTGGTACCTGACATTCACTCCTAGCATCTACGAGACAGGGGTCTGGAAGCGACACTATCTAGAGAATGTCCGCAGCCTCCACTACCTCCCTCCCAAGGTAAGAAATAGACAGACGTTGAGGTTGTTGTATTCTTCTCTATGATACAAGTGCCTCAAAGATGCCCTAGAAGGGTGCCATGTTAGATTTCATTAGATGAATTTATAAATCCCTAACTCAGACTGGGTTTTAGGAGGAATCTTCTCCTTCTTCATAAAAATAATAATGAAGAGAGTGAAAATAAATTCTATAAAAATGTATGTACATATAATGCTTTAATGTCATGTCATCCAACCGTCTTCATCTCCTCTGCACTACTACACTATATTGCTCTCTCTATCTCTCTCTCTCTCTCTCTCTTCCCCTTCCAATTCTTTCTCAAATATTGTTTGTGCTAGAATTCCCTGTATCTTGCCCTCTGTCCGCTCTCTCCTTTCCTCTCTCCCTCCTTCCTACTCTCTCCCTCCCTCCATCTCATACATCTCTCCCCTCTCTCCATCTCTCCTCTCTGTCCTACTCTGCAGTTCCCCATTAAAATATCAGTGTCTAATCTACTATCGTAATGCTCACACAATATTCTGTCATATATCTTTTTTTATCATCAACGTTTTTATCCACCACCGATAGGATGCTCCGAAACAGAAGCAGGTAACGATCAATGGCAACCAGGAGAACGATCCCAAGAAGACGGTCACCCCACCTAGGAAGACCGCGTGGTCCACAAAAAGCAAGCCCCCCAAACCACTCCAGCACAAACCCTGGAGGGCTAATGCCCCTGTTGCCACAGATACCCATCGCAATAATTACTTGGATAATGAGGATGAACTGTTGGTAGCAAGGTAGGTACATCCTGAGTACAATGAATGTGGCCCATGAGATGTTCATGCTGATTTACCAGACACATTTGGAGAATAAGAAACAAGAGAAAATTGACATTGTTTGGGTTTTAACCCTATCCATCAAAACTGTTTTGGAAAAAATGTTTTAACTGGGTGTGGCAAATTTGACCCCCCACCTAAAAATCTCACTTTTTATCAAGAAAATTCCGTAGAAATCAGAATCTCAATTGTGATAATCTGTTCAAATTTGATACTGAATTAATTTTTTTTTTTTTGTTATCAGATAACTAGATTAACTAGACATCCCAACCAATATCAAAAATTGCCTTTAATCTTACCTGTCCAACTTGCTTTTCTTTCTCCCAGGCAAAGGAGAATGGAGAAGATGGAAGCCAGTGGACAAAGAAGACCGCAAAGTGCAATGACTCCTGATAAAACAGGGAATTCCCCTAGTATCAAGAGTAGCAGTGCATCAAAGACACTCCCATCAACACAGTTTAACGCTAAGCTGAAGAGAGCCAGATCCACATCTGTAAGTTTGCTTGTAGTGTCACATAAATCATGGACATAGTGTTATGATCAACCACTGTAGGCCTACTGGTAAGACAGGTTGGGTAAGACAGGTTAGGACACATTGAAGAACTGTTTGGTGTCTGAATTTAAGAAATAACTACAGTGACAAATAAACACTCTATCCTATTTGTAAGGAAAAACATCAACCCAGTAAACTTTTGCATTCTTCTTTAACAACTAGGATACAAAGTTAATTTAATAGTTTCAAAAGCAGATACATACCAGTATATAACTTTACATCTGTGCTTGGTTGGGTTGGAAAGATTCCAAAAGTAACTTGTTTGAGCTGAAAGTTGCTACTGGGATGGAAACCAAACATCATCTCCTCCCCCTCCCCCAAAAAACCCTCCAACATAAAACAACATGAGGTGTTTGAAAGACTGTACGTACATAATCAAACATGTAGGGTTCCTACAGAAACACATTTCAGGGTTACGTTTTAGAATTAAACTTTTACTCCAAGAGGCAAAGTCTTATGGTGTAGAAGTAAGATATTAAATTAATGTTGCTGTATTGAAGAAGATCCAGAAACATCCAGGCTGTGGCGATATTTTACAATATTTTAAAAAAAATCTCTCATTATTGTTATCTTCTCTTCTTTTATGTACCTGTTACAGAATATTACTAATGAATCATCCAGTGGTAGACCAGACTGGGCCCAAACCAATGCAGGGGGCGACGCCTCTAGAATAACAGCCAATCATATAGGAGGACTGGACGCCACCGTTAGACCAGCTCCCGTCCTTAAGCCATCTCGTTCAACCAACGCTCTGAATAGATCGGAGAGAGACCCATCCAGTAAGTAAAGACAAATTGGGTGGTATTCTGATAGCGCATACCAAGTTAAGCCTGGCTTAACTTAGTCCATACTTTTATGGAGTGCCTGTTGCCAACTCATTTACCCTGTACAGATTATTTTAATCCTGCAATGGAAAGTGTTCAACAAATTAATTCTGCAATGTAATGGGAAAAAAAAGATAATATGAGTATGAACCGAATTTCAAAAAAGTATTTGGTAGATTATCTTTGTCATGAATATTGAAGGAGGAAGATGAAACCTAGCACTTCATAGAAGTGTGAACTAACTTATTGTTTAGTCTGGACTTAGTCCCAGCTTAACTTATGAGAATACTACCCATTGATAGTGTGACCATTAGAAACCAGCAAGAGCTCTTGAGGTGCGAGGGCTCAGTGGTAGAGCAGTGGTCTCCTAACCAGGAGGTCCTGGGTTCAAAACCAAGTTGATGTGCATTATTTCTCATAGAAAGGCTCTTTGTTTCATTTATAAATTTTAATCCTCCGCTCAAAATATGAAGACAAATTGTGCTATCAGAAGACAGTATATGAAAATACTTCTTGAAAACTTGTAGGTTTCGTTCTCTTCATATCTTCCATTGACCTGTGGGTTCATCTTAAACTTTTTCTTATTTTCATTCTAAATGTTATTTTTGTCGTCTTCTCTTCCCTGCCTGCTTTCTTTGTGTAGGTGGGCCTCAATTTGCAGCAAAAGGATGGAAAACGGTCGAGTATTCGGATGATGAGAGTATAGGCTGATTGAGAGAGCCAATCTAAACCTGTTTGTGCTGCAATATAGATGTACTGCCAGTGGATGGAACAGAAGAAACAGGTGCCTGCTTTGATAACGTTCCAAGACCTTGGAGTGTTTATGTTTGCTATGGTGTAAGATCTGATTCCAGGATGTACATTCCCATGTCAGTTATGTTCATTTCCTTGAAGTTTACCTAACCCGCTTTTTGGTAAATGAAACAGTACTTATAATGTTTTTACTGAATTCCCTAGTCATTCATGTATTGTATTCTTTATAAAAGCAAGATTGTATTCATGGCAATACTCATTGCAAGGTCAGATGAAATAATGATGACATGATTACTTTAAAAAACAACCAGAATATAAAAGACTGAATGTGGAAGAATAATGCAAGTGCAGTCACATTCATTAAAGCCCGTCTGTACTAGTTTGGCCAGAGGATTAGACCTCCTTGCAAGGTCACTGACAGGTGGTTATCTCATCAAATCAGCTCTCAATTAACATAAGAAAAAGAGGATCATGGGGGACCAACAGGCACCGATTAGGCATTGTTTGCTATATAGAGGGTGCAAGTAGCTATAAGTGGTGCAGTGGGGCTTTAGGTTAATTTTTGTTATTATTGGCACTGACTTGAACAACAGAAGAAAACTTGTGCACTTATCAAGCACAAATAAAACAGTGCAATACATCATGTTTCGGTTTTTAAGAGTTCTAACTTTTTTATGCCATGTTTCTGCAATTCAATCCGGAGATTGGCAATCGTATTCAAATTTAAGAAAAAAATTATTTCCATGATATCAAACGGCAAATATGCGGTATTTGTGTAATATGGGGTCATAGAGCTTCAGATAAGTACCTCTTATTTTGTCACAGTGTAAGTTGCCAGTTTGATGAGGAAGAACTGATTATTTCCGCCATTCTTTCCTGAATAGGTTGAATCATGCCCGAACAGGTGGTTGAATCTTGATAAGGGCAAAACTAGAAGAGAGAAACAAAAATGTTTCCAGTGTTTTGTCCGCATAAAACACGTTTACAAAATGATGTACCGGTAAGGAATCGAGGAGTACACAAATCAAATCCACATGCCCTTTGTTCATCGAAGGAGAACGATATTATTGTAATAATCATATCAATGAAAACAATATCACAATCTGATCTGTTCGATAGCTTCATAGAATATTCAGTACATCATTCTTTATAATGTGATGTCACCTTGCTTTGTACAAATATGTGAATAATGTATAGATTTTTTATTTTTGTACCTCAAATTTTGTACATATGGGAATACTGTGCTAATTCTATTTGTACAAAATGTTTCTTTTCTATAGTCATTGTAAGATGTTTTCAAGACTTGTCTAACTTGAAATTATGTGTTTTGTGACTCCTGTTCCTTGATATTACGAGGCAAGAACATCAAACAGCATTTATTTCCATCTGGAAGGAAAATCCTGATATTTAGTCTTTTAAAAAAAATTTAAATATTTTTTTATAATGGATGCAAGAAGAAGAAAAGAAAGATATAACTGATTGATTTCCTTGAAAAGTGATTCATATTAATTATGAATTTAATAGCAAGATAATTATTTCACAAAATTTCAGATGGAGAAGCAATAAAGGCATAGGCAATAAGCAACAATTTAACAGTTTCGTGTTGAAAATGCTGCTCAAAAGCTTGGGATATCAAGTTTCAGAAAATTCACAAATCAAAGAATAAATTCTGGTGACTTCATTTGTAATTGGTTGTTTTGAGCTGATTAGTCTAACATAATACTTTTGGGGGCAATTATTGATAGATATGTCTGGCAAGTGGAAATATTTTGGGCTTTGCAAATGTATGCGTAGTTGCGTACATTCAAAATAAAATCTTGAATGAAATTTATTTGTTTGTACATCCATTCACTCATATTATATTGTACTTCACTGACATTAATGGTAGGAAAGTCTAAATATAGATGTATTTGATGCAATTTATTACAACAGTACATGACCAATGTAATATCAAATTATTGTTACCAAGTTTTAGAAGAATTTTATTGCAATGAATTATCAACTGTAATTTGCAACAAATCTTTACGTAATAATTTATTGATTTGTTGTTAGTTTGTATAATTATCATTATTATTATTATTATTATATATTTTTTTTAAAATATTTTTTTAAAAATAATTAATTTATTTATTCATTTTTTTTTTTTTTTAATTATTATTATTTTTTTAAATTTGTGAATTTATTTATTTATTCATTTTTGTATTTGAATTTCTTTTTAGTGCAGGGGGGGGGGGGGGACATTGCGGTTACCCTTTTTATGCCTCCGTTACGAAGTAGCCGGAGGCATTTTGTTTTCAGGTTGTCCGTCTGTCTGTCCGTCCGTCTGTCCCGTTCTAGTGATCGCGTTATCTCAAGAACTGATTGATGGATTCCTGCCCTACTTAAGTCATGCATGTATCTTGCAGAGCCAATGAATTGATTAGATTTTGGGGTTACGAGGTCAAAGGTCAAAGGTTACAGGGCTCATTATGTATGCAAAAATAGCTTGTGATCGCGTTATCTCAAGAACGGGGGGAGGGGGGGGGGGGGGATTTGAAAAAGGATGTTCAAAGATGTCAGCAATTCATTTGTTGTATTTTGTTAACTATGTAGTCATATTATGTATGCTGTGATGTGATGGGTAATGCAAATTAGCAATGTGGTGTGTTTTTAAGAAGAACTTTCTTTTTCTCTAATTCATTTATATCTGTATGTATTAACCTTTGTGAGCCATGTCTTAAGCACTATAAAAATCATCTGTAAAAAAATGCACCTGTATAGATATTTATATATGTTTTTTTATGAATTACTGTATGCCCACTATATGTGTAGAAATGTATTCCTACCATATTTGATAACATTATGTTGTCATGTTGCTGACTTCATGTAAACTTATTTCTGTACAATACATGCTACATTGCATTGAAACTATATAGTATTGGGAAACACCAAGAGTTGTATATGTGTAATATATGTTGTTGCTAGCTATAGCAATATATCAAGCTACAGTGTATTATTGTGTAATAATGGTTGCTTAACAATGTGCATATTAAAATCTAACATTGATACATGAACTGAAATGTCTGTTTTGTGGGGTTCCATTTTAGTTAATAATCTTGAAATGAGGTTGTTTGCATCTTATAAAGACTATTTGTGACAAGAATGATTTCTTTTTCTTGTTCTCCAAACTTTTTTCCCCTGTCACTACCTCTACGTCTCACTCTCACTCCACCCTTTCCTCCATCTCTCTCTCCCTCTCTCTCTCTTTCTCTCTCTCTCTCTCTCTCTCTCTCTTTTCTCTCTATCCCCCTCTCTCTCCTCCCCCTCTCTCTCTTTCTCTCTCTCTCTCTCTATCTCACTCTCCCTCCCTCTCTATCTCTCTCTTGCTTTCTTTGATCTTCAAAATCTCAGTGAAACAACATTTCATACACTTGTGTGAGGCATCATTAAAAATAAAGATACAATTTTATTGCACGTTCAATGTAAAAATATTGCACGCCCAATACAGACTTCGTAGGGATACTTCAGAAGCGAACAGACAATATTCGACATATTATTGCACTAAAGCTTATACAATTATTCTGTTATAATCCTCTCAGCTGGAAAACCTTGCATGTACAATTAGCGACAACATAGATTCAAGCATTTCCTACAAGTTCATTTCCAAATCAATTTCCTACTTGACATATACATAAACTAGTAATTATAAATGTTTTGTTCATATACGACTACTAGCGCATTGATTCAAAGTTTTCCGTCTTTAACGATTGTTTCAGTATTTTACAAGCCCAATATTCCAGGTAAAACAAACAATAAATCATGTTTTTAACCGAATTTGAAATTTGGATACAAATTGTAAAGTAATGGGTGAGAATTGGCAGGCTAAGATCGTGAGAGAGAGAGGAGTGGAGAAGGAAAGGGATAAACAAATTACGAATATATATATATATACTACGTCATATAATTTTGCAGATACAAAATAATTAAGGTTTGCTCATATATTATATATGGCAATGCTTATATTCGATGTCAGAATTTAGAATATACCGGTAATAAACAAATAAAATATGTACATGCAAAAATACATTCCTCAGTTTGTATGTACAGTGAAGACTTATGATTAAAACTAAAAATACAGTGTCATTCTAATTCACGTATCTGTATTTTTCAAGATGATTATGTGGGCTTGTACACGGTTATATACGTGAAATGATATATCGTCACTTCGCATCTCAAAATATAACGCTTTTTAAATCACAGAAATGTTCACGCATTGAAGTTTATTTATCGATTAAATATACACAATGCAAATAAACGATTTTTGTTAACATGACACTGCATTACACCACTTTATTTTACATATTTACTATCCAGTTTTCAAAATCATTTGTACTCTTTCCTCTACATGTAGTAAGATTTACTTATTCCTACTCAATTCCAGACATCACTAGAATACTTTGAATGTTTTAATACAAGGTAATATATTTGTCTGCTGGTCACACCCGACAACCCCCACCCCCTCCCCCTTTCTCATCCCATCCTGTAACAACGTTCCTGACTCGGATCTTCATCGACTGTTGTAATTGCCACGACTCTCATGATCTATCTAGAGCGGGAGGGAGAGATTCTTGCTGTTTCGGCTCAACCTCGGATGTCGTTCACGGGTTATAGGTCGGGCAATCCCATCGGATCCTGAAGCGTTCTCCTCTTCCTCCAGCCTCCAGCCACTTGCCTTAAGGATATCGGCCGTCATCGAGCGCGGGTCGCTGGTCGCATCGTACGAGCTGGCGTGTGCATAGGAGTGAGGACGTCGTGATCGAGAATCTGATGAGGAAAAAGAGTGGAAAGAGATTAAATATTAGCATATAATATAGTTCTATTGATGCAACCATTTTTTTGTTTTGATTTTTTTTTTATTTTTTATTTTTTTAATTAAAAAAAAAAAAATGTATATATATATATTTTTTTTTCGGGGGGGGGGGGTATTTATTGATAGTTAGGTTACCATCAAAGTAAAGTGTAACATCTATATTCATATCTTAAACTTACACAGTTCATAAACATTTATTTAGTTCAATTCTCAGTCAGGTCAGTGGTGTAACTAGAGACACGGAATGCACGGAAGATACACGCCCCAATCACATCATCATCATCTTCACCACCATCATCATCATCCTCATCATCATTATCATCATCATCTTCATCATAATCATCATCATCATCTTCATCATCACTAGCAACAGCATCATCACATTCATCATCATTGTCATCATGCATGATCATGATCAGTCATCAGTAGCATCATCATTATCATCACTAACACCACAAACACCATCATCAACATCTTTAGCATCATCATCATCAACAGTAAATTCGTCACGTCACAATGATGATAGTCGCAGTTGCGGAGACCCTCTATTTTTGCTAACTCAAATGTGCATACAAGTGATTTGGCGGGCATCCTAACGCCCCTATTCCCTCTTTATCAACATCCTGGGTGGGCGACTCTTCAATAAGAGTGAAATCTCCTATAGCGGGGACGCCAGACTAAGGATCACATTTTTAGTATATGAGATGCAAACGCGGTTTATCCGAGAACCCCAAACTGGGACACATCTGTCGGAAACAGATGTAAAAAAAATTGCTCCCAGGCGTATTAATGGCAAAGCTTGATTTCGAAGCTCGTCTGTTTAAAGACCGATGAAAAATGAAAATTATACATGTGTTTCATAGTTAACAGTATATCTTTTCAAAATGAACGAATTTTTGTTCATTTTTCCTCAAAATTTCATCAAGCTGAGTCCTTGATTTTACTTTCACATCTCCACACACGACCACCCACATATCTGACTTATCGATCTCTGTTCTACACACGCTCTCCAGTCTCTTCACTCAATTATCATTTGATCATAAAGGTATGGCGGTCACTCTAGACAAATAATTAAAACAAATGAAAACAAGATATGCAAATGTACTATACAATTTAATATGTACCACTGAATACAAATAAATAAATACGACTGTGTACAAATCTATTATTATTACAAAGATAAATTTATCTTCTTTATCACAGCTTAATAAGGATAAATTTATCTTCGTTTAACAGCCAAACGAGGATAAATTTATCTTCGTTTAACAGCCAAACGAGGATAAATTTATCTTCGTTTAACAGCCAAACGAGGATAAATTTATCTTCGTTTAACAGCCAAACGAGGATAAATTTATCTTCGTTTAACAGCCAAACGAGGATAAATTTATCTTCGTTTAACAGCCAAACGAGGATAAATTTATCTTCGTTTAACAGCCAAACGAGGATAAATTTATCTTCGTTTAACAGCCAAACGAGGATAAATTTATCTTCGTTTAACAGCCAAACGAGGATAAATTTATCTTCGTTTAACAGCCAAACGAGGATAAATTTATCTTCGTTTAACAGCCAAACGAGGATAAATTTATCTTCGTTTAACAGCCAAACGAGGATAAATTTATCTTCGTTTAACAGCCAAACGAGGATAAATTTATCTTCGTTTAACAGCCAAACGAGGATAAATTTATCTTCGTTTAACAGCCAAACGAGAATAAATTTATCTTCGTTTAACAGCCAAACGAGGATAAATTTATCTTCGTTTAACCGCCAAACGAGGATAAATTTATCTTCGTTTAACAGCCAAACGAGGATAAATTTATCTTCGTTTAACAGCCAAACGAGGATAAATTTATCTTCGTTTAACCGCCAAACGAGGATAAATTTATCTTCGTTTAACCGCCAAACGAGGATAAATTTATCTTCGTTTAACCGCCAAACGAGGATAAATTTATCTTCGTTTAACAGCCAAACGAGGATAAATTTATCTTCGTTTAACCGCCAAACGAGGATAAATTTATCTTCGTTTAACCGCCAAACGAGGATAAATTTATCTTCGTTTAACCGCCAAACGAGGATAAATTTATCTTCGTTTGGCTGTTAAACGAGGATAAATTTATCTTCGTTTAACAGCCAAACGAGGATAAATTTATCTTCGTTTAACCGCCAAACGAGGATAAATTTATCTTCGTTTAACCGCCAAACGAGGATAAATTTATCTTCGTTTAACAGCCAAACGAGGATAAATTTATCTTCGTTTAACAGCCAAACGAGGATAAATTTATCTTCGTTTAACAGCCAAACGAGGATAAATTTATCTTCGTTTAACAGCCAAACGAGGATAAATTTATCTTCGTTTAACAGCCAAACGAGGATAAATTTATCTTCGTTTAACAGCCAAACGAGGATAAATTTATCTTCGTTTAACAGCCAAACGAGGATAAATTTATCTTCGTTTAACAGCTAAATGAGGATAAATTTCTTATTTTTAACAGCTTTATAAGGAGGATAAATTCATCTTTGCCTACACCATTCAAGGATATAATTATGTTTGTTTACTTTACCTACTGAGGATAAATCTTAATAAGCAAAACCGAATCTTCAATAGTTATCTTCATTATCTTTATTATCACAACTGAAGAAGGATATATTATACCTTCGCCCACACCAATCCACAGGTCAAAAAAATGAAAAGGATAAATTCTAACGGCATTTGAAAGACAATACTTATTTAGAACTTATCTCAAAACGAAAGGGTTTGAAAATGGCTTTTTTGTGGGAAAAAAACTACCATTAGTTGTCGAATCGACATTAGTGTATGCAATCACCTAAGTAATAGTCTGATTTTTAGACCCTTGTACTGAATGGTCATACGTTTTTTGCTGCACAAATATTTAAATAGTATAATTTTGGCCATTACAAGTAGTGGGTTATTGATGTAGACAAATGCTCACGTGCCTGGTACAGCTCATTTTACCAAAGAAAAAAAAAAAGATGACAGGGAATTCTAGAAAGTAAACGGTTTTCCTTGCATAACTTGAATACAAGGACCCTTCTAATGTTTAAATTTCACAGTTAGGACATACATGACATATTCATAATTCCTGCAAAGTTCTACAGAATTTGATGTAGCCTGCAAAAGGGACATACTATCTTTAACATAAACCTTAGAGGCCATAGTATGAACATTCAGAAGCAACATGCCCGCTTGAACATCAGAAAGAACGGCTTTACACACAGAGTGGTTAACCACTGGAACATGCTCCCCAAGACGGCAGTAGAAGCAGCATCGATCAACGCCTTCAAAGGTCAGTTTGATGCATTTTTCTCAGCGAAGTACAACAAGTATGACTATTAAGAACATGTATGACACTATTAATTACATGTAAGACCTAAGTATTAAGCAGACAGCAGAGCTATCTGCATTCCATGTTAGGATTGATATCTGCAAATTATGAAGGAAGGTGGGCATTATAGGACTTCGTCTTAAATTAGAGCCTGTGAAGACAGGAAACTACAGGTAACTACAGGTCACACATTTGAACATGAACTTCACTACTCTATATCTGTTTCATCTGAATCCTCTGGTGTAGAATCCACTACCTTGGAAAGCTCTCCTTTCTTGCCCATGACTCTTGCACGTCGACCAAGGGAGCTTGCTATGCTGCTGAGCTCTGCAATGAGGTTTAAGAATAAGGAGAACAATGCATGCAATAAATTCTTGAACCAACAGTTTACAATGCCAATTGTTATCATATTGCAATATAAAGGTGTAAGTACCAAAGATCGATTGTCCATCAATTTTCTCAACATCACTACATATTCACTCTCACACAGCGGTGCTGGGGTGACAAAACCTTGTATTTCAAAAAAAGTTTAATGTTCAGGGGAGTGAAAAACATGGCTTCCATAACACTGTATCCAATGGGATCGTCTTCCCTTTGACTTGGTGTAGTGGCTTCATTTTTTTTTAGACAGCTGGGATTAGGACAGGTCATCACTTGACAGATTATTTAGTCACTAAAAAACCCAAAGTGACTTTCCCCAAAATTTGAGAAACAAGGTCTTGTCACCCCAGCGCCGAATATGTCCAGTGACAATTGAGCGAACCCTTGGTGTTCCACAGATTATATCTGGTCAGATTTCAGAATGAAGCAACTGCACAAAATTCATCTCAGAAATTTTGCTTCAAGGACTGATTTTTAGCTAAATTTAAAATCTTACTAGTATGGCATGTAATTTTACCTCTGAATAATAATCAAATATTCTTGAATATTTTCTTTCTGTTAATATAACTTCTAGTATTTACTAATGGATGTAAAGATCTGTCATTTCTGTATGTGTCTTGTACATAGGTGTATAAACTCAATATTGTGTTAGGAATATAAAAGTCCCTGATTTTCCCAAGTGGCATTTAAAACATCAGGATCTCTTTATGAAAAGGTATTAGTTTAAACACAAAAAGCAACTAGGACAACAGATAGACAGCTGTTTGGACATCTAGTGAAAATGTAAGTTACCTACCAAAATTAGATTTTCAATGTCATGTCTCCTTTCTTCACAAAGGGTATTTTTCAATATATAATTAATCTAACTTCATAATACCAAAATCAAACTGATTTTCAAGAGCTTTCAAATACTTAAATTTTCAATCTACCATCGGCTTAACTTGCAATCAACATGCATGTGTGGTCCAATTTACCCAAATCTGTAGCCAGTACTCGTCATTATACTAGCATGAGTACATGTATTTCAGCAAAGATTCCTATTGCTTCCATGATTAGAAATTATAACAGTATATACAACTACCTCTACTACATGACTGTTATTTCTCAGTATGTTTAAGACAGTCAGTTTCTTTCAAAGTGGAACCACTGACCCAAAACCGTATTCTTCTTAAATCTGAAGATTACTTTGAAGTCAATTATCTTCATAATTTGTAGGTGAAAAAAAGTTTGCTATCTACCTTGCATTTCATCTGCCATGGATATTTCATCTCCATAGTCTGTCAACTGTTCTATCAAGCTCTGAAATGCCTGTTTTTCTTGGAGGATCATTGGCATTTCAAACGTTGATTGTCGGCTTCCTTCTTCTCCTGCTCCAATTATGAGGTGACAAACTGCAAGGAGAGGAGATTAAAAAAATGTGAACCAACAGGTAATAACAATTGCCTAACAAATTGTTTTGTCCATCTCCAGTATAAGCCAGAGTCAGAAGCTTAATCACACAGGTTACAATTGGTGCCATTGGGATGGGTCGTGCCTTTGTTCAAAACCAGTTACCGTATGATGTTTGAAAACAAATAAGAAAATATGCCATAAGGAAGATTTATTGACTGTTTTCAACAGAATACCTTTTCAATAACGAATTGATGGGCAAATTTTGTACATATTGAACACTAGTTCTTGCTGAGTAGAAACTGACTAAGAAGGTGCTTGGAATCATTAAAAATCCAGCCATTTTATTAATATTTATTTTTATTTACAAAGTTGTGAGTCGACCATAGTAAAATGTCCACATTACCCCACTTAAAAGCAAATTCAAAATCATGAATGAAAAGAATTATTGATGGAGCAAACTAGTGTTGAGTGAAAAATGTCTCATGTATGGAGCGACACATAAAATCTTGAATCGGTCTTTGTGCTTCTCTTAACTAAACTGTGCATAATGGTATCAGGTATCGGAAGGTACATGTAATGTCAAATTTGGTATAATGACAGAGATGTGATTTCTAAAGCAGACTGTATGGTATTGACAGCTACAATTGTGTTTACTGTTAACAGATTGTAAAGCTTGAATCAATCATCCACTTCCACCATATTTTCTTTTGTATTTTTGAAATTCATGTGCTACATAATACTTTGTTTTACTATTTAAAATATTGCTCTCAAGTCATATCATTAATACGGTTCTTTAAGATTGTAAAGACTACCCCCCTTTTTTTTAATATACTGATATTTCAAGTTTGGACATCAAATTTTTCCTTGCAACCCAGCTTATATAGAAAATATTCAAAGAGATATGTACCAAGTCATTTGTGTCATCGCTCTGAATTAAAAAAAAAAGACTAATGGCATGTCAATAAACTAACTTAATGTGAATGTTTAAATTACTCAATGAAACTATTCTACGAACCCTGAGTTTCTTTGATGATGGCAGCTTCATGCAGGAGGCTGAAACCCTGTCTCCGCATCTCGGTCTGCCATTTAGCAGCTACCTGTACTCCTTTGGCCAACACTGCTACATGTGTACTCCCCTTCTTCAAGTTGTCCAGCACTCTCTTCAGTTTCTCTGATTCTTTAGATTTCTGTTTTGTAGAGGGGGGAAAAAACCTTCATTATTTCATATCTAATAGTTTAAGAATTATCTTAGTTATTAATCAATCAATCAATCAGGCTAAAGTTCATCCAGGACGTTGGACAAAGCCCTCATAACATTTCCATTCTCTTCTGTCTCTAGCTATCCTTGTCCAAGCGACCGTTCCCATGTACATGTATGATGTTAGGTCATCTCTCCATCTTCTCTTCTGCCTTCCTCTTCTTCTCTTTCCCGTCCTTGGTTGCCATTCTGTTAAACGATTTGTCCATCTATTGTTCTGAAGTCTTGCTACATACCCAGCCCATCTCCACTTTGATTCTTAGTTATAGTAATGGACAAACATGTAAATATTCTTGCCCCTCTAACTCTAAATCATCCATGTTTGTGAGCTAGATTGACACCACCCCTATTTTCCTTTCCTATACGACTATGGTCTCTTCAATATATCCATATAGTAATGTTCAAAATGAGGAGAGTATCATAGGCTCTTTGGAGTGATGAGAAATATATAGTATAACAGGCTCTACTTCTGCATTAGCTGCATTATAAAAGGTAAACTCTGATCTGAAATGTGTATGTATGCATATTTCTTTCAGAATCTGAGAGCTTCATTCAAGCATTCCCTCATCAATTTACTCTGTAATGATAACGAAATGCTGAATGGGTGTAAAAGCTATGGACTGAAATTATTTCATATCCAAGTACTTGCATGAATATGTTCAAAATGCTAGTCATATCTAAATATCATACATCTTATTTTCAAACAGCGAACAGTCTTCATCCTATCTATATACATGTATGCAAATAGATTACATCCAATAGCATGTATCACTTACCACTTCTAGAACTATTAGAGAAACCGGAGCCATTCTAAGATGCTCATATGAGGAAGATCCATTTTCTGCACTCTTTTCTGCTTCCCTTACATAGTCGATAAACTCCATGGGGACTGCCTTTTTGAAGTTCATACCTGTTCAAATATTGAATTAAAATTGGTTACTTAATGATATAAAAAATATTTCATGACCAACTGTTTAAAATAGAACTACACTTGCCCCAAAACAACATAAGTAGTTTGATATAATTATTCTTTCAAGTTTTTTTTTTTTGGAGGGGCGTTTCCAGGTAAATCCTCATGATTGAGAAGATAATACGTCAGCTTTATATACCGTATGTACGAAAGTATTACAAATAATATAGAATTACAAGATTTTGTTAACTATGAAAAACTTAATTCTATATCATGTTTTCAAATTTTCTATATGATTACCGAAGTTCTTTTATTATACGTACATTTTACTTTTGAAATTAACAAATCTAGCTATCATATTGGATGCCATTTCATCTCAATAAACCAATTCTTGTTATCTTTCATGGTAATACCACATAATTGAAAGAAACACTGCTGATTCTTGGTGAAAGAGAACTTGATCTGAAAGATTACTGTAGTTCAATTTATGATAAACTTTCAATTTTGAGCAGAAGCAAAAAATGATCACAGTCTATGTGAAAAATAATCCAAATAGTATTTACATTGAGCTGTATGTACAGTTGAAGAAAAAAAAATCAAGAGCTTTAATCTTAAATCAAGGAGAATTATCAAACCAGTTCTTTAACAAAAAGTAAAATATCTTTAGCCCACCGCCAGTGTTGTCACCAGCCATTTTCTACTAAAGGAAATTTAATGGCGTGACATGCTATGCTACTGCTATTGGAATTTTTGAGTGGTGGAAGGCTCCGACCACCGCCGACCACCATAGTGACAACACTGCCAACCGCACACTACACAACCTGTCTGCTATCCGACTTTAGACAAAATGTTAAAATACTTTATGTCAACATTCAAACATGGAAAATCATACTGACCTAAGTTCTAAATAGTCGTATCAAGACCAATGTTGAAATTCATGGCTATTTTGATTTCAGTATTCCTATATTCATTTCGAACCTTAAATAAGATAATTTTCCTCGTTTTAACTTTCAATGTTAATGTAAAATACGATTATTTCAAAAATCTGGTTGCAGTCGGATCGTATAGCGTGCGGTGGGCTTTATATGTATTAATCCCTTAGAAAAGGAAAATAATCACATTTCTTTCAGTCACTTGTTTGTGTTGTACTCACTCATGAAATAATCAAGAGCTGCAGTCTGTGTATGTGCTGGAAACTCTTCACAGCATTCCTCCCATGTTGCCTTCTTTGTCAGCTCTTTGAAGATATGCTTGATGGTACTCAGTTGCTTCAGACGCGTAGCTTCTACCTTCACCTCTTCCACTTTTAACGTGCCATTGACCAACTTGCATAGCACATCAAATTTGTCAACTTCAGTGAGACCTTGCAAGTATAAAAACATCTGAAAGACAAGGAAACAATTCAAATGCTAACTTTGTTGGAGGAGTCTGCGCCTTTGAATGTTTTTGAAACAATATATGGCTCCATACAAATGCTGTGAATCATCATCATCATCATCATCAACAACTACTGTCTTACCCATGAATGTTTTTTTTAAGTTACGGAATACAATCATAAAATCTTAGGTTCATCGTAAACGATGAACCTAAGATTTTATGATTGCACTATTCTGTAACTGCTGTCGGAAAAGCGGCGCCTATGTCTTGCTACTGCTATGCAGGTGAGACAATAATATCAACATTAATAATAATAGTACAAAATTTACTATTCGATTTCATATAGTGCATAGCACAGGCATAGAACATTCATGTAGTACAGAAGGAGTGCAAATGGTGCACTGGGTTCCTTTTTTATGATTATTGCGTAGAGGTGTCGTGGTAGAGCGGTTATGTCGCCGGACTGTCGACCACAAGGTCCGCGGTTCGAGTCCCGCCGTGGCCCTAATGTCCTTTGGCACGACAGTGATCTACATTTGTCACACTCAACCCAGGTGATGTAAATGGGTACCTGGCAGGAAATAATTCCTTGAAATGCTAGAGCGCCTTCATGGCCTTGCTAAAGCCAGGGTAATAATCAGGGCAGCGTAAGGAGCATCACGTTGTGAAGAACATGTGCGCTATATAATAAGCCACCATTATTATTATTATTATTATTATGACATTTACAAATGCTCTAATTATTTTTCAAAGAAACTTCTAAACTTTCCATATGCATTTACGTTTCGAATTTCTACTGAAACCTACAAACATGATGCAACTTTCTATTACGACTGGGGACATACTTACAGAAGTTTTCATAGCCTTGCCATGTTGTTCTTCATACCATCTGAAGAGCCGTATCAACTTTTCATGACACCGTTTTGAGTACAATGCCAACTGGAATGTCGTTTCCAAGGGTTTCAGCTCCTGCATTAAAAGAGTGTAATAAACATAAGAATCAGCCAAATGGACATAATTATTTGCCTATAATAACATCACATGTGAGTGAACTACTGCATTTTACTAAACCCTACACAGGTCAATGACACAAATTGTTGCAGTGTTTAATTTTTGTTTATATTTTTTATTTTTTTAAGTTTTACATTTATTTTATTTTTATCTTTTTTTTCTTTTCAGAGGCTAAAGAAATAACGAATAACATGTTTGCGCAAATTAGCCCCAGTGCCATCTTTCATTTTTCTTCATTTTTTTTTTTTTGGGGGGGGGGAGATTGGTGGGAGTGGTTTTAAGCTACTGAGAGCCCTAATGGCTTCTGTTAATTTATGCTAAATCATAACAAAGGTGGTTAATGCTGGCTCTCTACTGTATTGGGGGGGGGGGGTCAGTTACACCCCCCTTGAAAAAATGTTTAAAAAATGACGATTAATTGTATCACACAATTCTTTATTTTTTACTCCAAGCATTTAATTTACTGTAAAAAAAAATCATAAAGTAACTAAAATATAATTTTTTTCTTCAGTATCCTATTTTAATACTGATGTAAGAAAACTGGCTGGTGCTGCTCAGACGTTGCCAATAGTTATACCCTGAAATGACCAATATACCGCAAATTGTAATTCAGAAGAAAAAAACTTAATAAAACCTTTTGGGAGAATCACATGCATTGCAGTGGTTTTGCAAAATAGACTGGAAACTAAATTAAATATTTTTACCTTTCTTGAAGAAGTTACAATCCCTAGTGACGCCGCAGATTGAGTCCGCCATTCCAATTTTACATTATTGGGGGGCTCCTCGGTCTCATCGATGTCATGCATGGCATAAAGCAGTCTTCTGCATACATTCACTTTCGCTTCAAGTGTTGGGATGTCGTCTACTAAGAGGCTCTGTTCTTGTTGGAATAGTGCTCCAACTTGCAGTGCCTCTGTTGGTGTGAGCCCTTCATGTACATGAACAAGGACACGTCTGTAGCAGGAATATAAAGAGAGAACATTATACATTGCCGATTTTTAGCAGAGTCAATGATAAAATGTACATTTATGTCTGTATGTACAGGTTGTACATGTACAAACAGTTATTTTGCATTACAAAACATTTTTTTTTCTTGTTGTAGGCAAGAAGTTTATTATTTCACCTAAATTTCATTAAGCAAAATGTCAGTATTATTTGTATCTTTTTAAAGGAAACTTTTTGTGTGCGTGCATGATTCTGACTTTTACAACGGGATGTAAATCATGATTGCAAACATCTGTTGATGTTTTGAAGCTCCTACCTCAAAACCCTGAGCTTATCATGCCAGATCAAACAAACACATTAAAACTAAGTCCACAGCAATAGATGCTTTTTTTTTTAAAGAAGAATTTTGCATGACAAGTCAATTACAAAATATAAAGTTCCAATACAGAATTGATATTTCAAGTGTACCAATCACCTGAAAAAATAATTTGTAATCAAAGCTTCTACTTTACCCTCCCCAAGGCAGAAGAAGAAATGAATCAAATTTAAACACACATACCTGTCATCGTTAGACAAGTCCAGCAAAGCTTCAAACAAACTATATCCACCAAGAAGAATGTATGAGGATTCCTCAGCATTTTCCTGATCCCATGACCCTTCTACAAGTACTGGTAGTAGCGGTAGTTGAATCCCCTCGTTGGCTTTTAAGGCCGCCTTGAAGGCTTCCACCCTACAGTGAGACGATTGGACAAGCGTGAACTCTCTAGATGCTCTCTTTAAAGTCCTTAGGGGAACCTCAACAACTCCTAGTAATTTTAAAAATTGTATAAGAACAAAAACATGAAAATAAATACAGAAATGTAGTTGCCATTATTTAAGACCCTGGAGAAATGTAATGAACCCTACATGTAATTAACAATAAATATTACATTTTGAATGGCAATACTAAATGGTAAATTGACTGACTGAAAGTGCAATTGGAAGAGTTTACTCTTAATTCTTGTTTATAAACATAAATTTGTGAGAATAAAAAAATAAAAAAATTCAAAAACAGAAACATTGGTTACACTTCGATGAGAATATTTTATATAATTTTATTCATAAATCTCTTTTTCCTTTCAAAACATCTTCACCAGTTTACATGTAAATGTACTCTTTCCCCTAGAGCATCCAAGTATTTTCTTTTGCAAATGAAACATACACATAGAGAGAGCAACAACTAAGGGTAAAATTGGCAACACACTTTGGACACTGAAATACCCATTATCAAGAACCAAACTTTTTTTTTTTAATTCATCATCCTGTGAAGTGGGAAAATCTTCACCATTGGATGTGACTAGTTTCACATATGTCCCTTGAAGGGAAATCCAACCTAATAGGCAAGAGAGAAAACTACTCTTTTCCCTACAAATTATGTTATTAAAAGGGATGAACTGCCTTTTAGATTTAATTAGGTTTATTATTTGCCTGAAAATTATTAAATGTAATTAAATATTGACTGGCCTTGATAGAGATCTGACATTGCCCAAATTAGATCATATCGTCCAAGGCTTCAGCAGAGGGTGATATGAATCTAATGAGGGCAATATACATGTACATTGTATATGTACATGTATAAAGTCATCGCTCATTCATGGCAAGTGCTTTTTAAAATTATTATTATTAACTATTATCTAATATTAAGTAATAAAAGTTAACTATTATTTAAGTGCTAAGTGGAATTTATACAAGTTGATGTGGGTAAAAATATGTTTCACTTATAGACCTTAGGATCTACAGTGAATTGCGCACATTATTGGGAGGGTAGGAGCGCAAGAACATGCGTAAAGATGTTAAGGGGAATTTAAAATTTTGCCCAAAGGACAATTTCCCCTTTGTTAGACATATATACTAGACATATATACTAATTTGTTCTCCATCATCTTGTCCTTTGTTTTTAATCTAGAGCAAGTTGATTTATTATTGATCAAAAAGATAATCTCACCTTTGAAATTTCCTTGAGAATCACTGTCTTGTGTAGTTCCTATTGTCAGCTTCTGTTTCTTCCTCCTTGGTTGCATTCGGGGTACTGGTGTAGATTGGAATTGGGGCTGGAAGGCTAAGTCGTCAACAGTAAAATTCTCACTATCCGGGAATAATTGGCTTAAGGAATCCAAATCGGCATCTTCTGCACGAAGACTTATTTTTTTTCCATCCTCCAATGTGATCTACAATGTATATGGATAACAAAATTCATTCATCGTGATAAACATTCGGATTGAGAAGGAGCTCAGTCAAACTGATTTTTTTTCACTGAAACACAAATTCAAAAACATGTCTGCTATGAATCATATGGATATCTGTTCAGCTTCCAGTAGTCTGTAAGGCCCTATATCATTACCATAACCATAAAGACCTTGAACCAGGGAGCTGTTAAATTGAAGGAGTAAAAAATCTTTTAATTTATGCAAATGTATATAAGTTCTAAAGTGTAACAATGGGACGGTTAACATTCAACATGGCTTTGCAGTTCCACGTGCCGAGCTGCTCTTCTACGGCGGGGAAATTTGGAGACTAGGCACCAGTTTCGCATTTATTACATTACCGGCCGAACTTCATATTATGAAATACCGGTAATGTGTTTGGAATAGTGCAGTGAACAATTTTACAAATTCATTACTCCGCTCTTCCTATAATTTGTGTGGCAGCGTTTGTTATAGGAAAATTACATCCTGACAAATATTCAATATTTTAGGATATTCCAACCATTTTCGCAAGTTTAAATATTTTGTCATTTAAAGGTACTACATGTACAGTATGTCCCATTTGCAGGCCAAAAAAAAAATGAAAAGGTTAAATTTCAACAGCATTTAAAAGACAATACTAATTTAGAACTTCCCTCAAAACGAAAGGGTTTGAAAATGGCTTTTAGTTGGAAAATTAGTAGGAAGTTGTGAAATTGACTTAAAGGTGAAATTCAAAGAAAATCAAAAATATGTCAACTAATGAATGACTAGAAACTGGTAAGCTAACAGATGGCATCGTACAAGTTTTAGGTCAATTACATATCGAGTGATTTATAAAAAATACAAATACAACCACCTGGGATATACAAGAGATTTGCCAGAAAAATAATGATGTTTTAATGACGTCACTATATGGACCAATATACAGCCCAAGCAGACGACATCCCATAAAGAATGAACATAATTGCAAAGCTTTTATTTGTCCATCGTACAAGTTTTAGGTCAACTACATATCCGGTGATTTATAAAAAATACAAATACAACCACCTGCATAGCAGCTGGGATATACGAGAGATTCGTCAGAAAAATAATGATGTTTTAATGGACCAATACTGCCCAAGCAGACGACATCCCATAAAGAATGAACATAATTGCAAAGCTTTTATTTGTCAAATTATAATGAGTTTAGTGTATATAAATGTGATGGCATGTCAAACCATTCAAAGGGGATATGATCCGATTCCGATAACTAAAATCTTTTGCTTGTAAATACACAGGATAGGGGTTAATTAACAATCGAAGAAACCAGACTTTCGAATTGAAAACCCCCTGGAATGATATTAAGGACGGCATTTGTTCCCTCTTGAAACGCCAAACATACCGCGGTGTGTGCAGCTGAATATTCAATGGCGTCTTATTTTGTTTACAAGCGACAGATTCCTTTATTTTTGTATCGCTGCATTTGTCATCAAAATAAACCCATGCGCGAGGTTTAGAGTGAGGCAATAGATTATACATTTAGCCTGAGGGTAGTGAAGTAAGAGAAAAATCTCAAGAGAAGATGAAAACACAGGCACTGAAAATGTGTGAGATGTCATGGGACATCGTCTGCTTGTGCAAATCGTGTCCATGATCTCACACATCTCAGCAGCGTTCGGAGAGCTCTTCAGGTGCTATGCCGGGGCTGTATTTTAGCGTTTTATAATATATACATGTAATAATCATTACTTCGAATGTTTCCAAGCATTGAATTTTGATAACCTTGTCAAATCAAAGTTTAAACTTTGCAATAATGAAATGAAATTAGTTTTTAAACTCAATGAATATCTACTTTAAGATAATTCCATACTACAATATCAATCCACAAAACCTAGCACCGGATTTGAAACTAATTAAGATCATGTCATCAACAGAGGTGCAATAAAATGTCAAAATTTGTAAATCATTACGGTACGCCAAATCACTAAGTTGTCATCATTCTTAGAGAACACTAGTTATCATTCTTTTTATTAAAATTGATTACACCCCTCATCAGTATCCTTGAATTTATTAGAACACATTACAAACTTGACCTTTGTCATCATTTTTCATTCCAAACATTTGAAGCTTTAACAAAATTTCATCCTGACATATTTTCTCTAAGTGCTAGCAGATCTAGTCAAAGGTGCCCTAGCTGTCACACCCCCCCCCCCCTCCCCTTCCCTTAGTCCCATATGTACAGTATAATACGAAGAGTATGGAAATAGACCTTCTGCAAGAGGGTTAATATAAATTAGTCTGCTATATATGGTCCTAGTCATCTAACTTCCAACTTCAACCTCCACCTTGTCGTTTTTAGTGTATTTTCTCTGAGCGCTAGCAAACCGATTCAAAGTCAACCCCCCCCCCCCCCCCCATGGCACCATTTGTATTACGCGCAGGGTATGGATAGTGTCTGTCTGCGAGAAGACTAGTCCGTGCTACGGTCTTAGCCATCTTACAGGGTGTACAGTACTTTGAATAAAATATCATTTGGTTGGTAGATTAGACCTTGCTCTTCAACCTCCACCTAGTCGTTTTTGAGGGTATTTTCTCTGAGTGCTAGCGGACATCGTCAAAGTCACCCTGCCTCACCCTTCCCTTTAAAAGTCCCATGTATAATACAGTGTATGTAGAGTATGTAAATTCGCCGTCTGCAAGAGGGCTTTAGACTGCGATGGTCTTACCTACATGTACATGTATCTAACTTCTAATGGACATTTTTTTTTGTGCATAGATAAGATGAGATCAGTGAAGAATAAAAATATAAAAAAGGGCAGTTTAAAATTGCCTCAGGTGAAATAATATAAAGTATATGCTTAAATCAAAATTATCATAACAGATGTTGGTACAATTTTAATTTTAAGTTCAGAGTGAATGGAAAATAAACTCATTTAGAATTCCCAGCCTTGTTTGTAGTCTTAATGCAAATTTGAAAAAAGTTAAAGAAACATAAATTGAATTTTTCTTTTTATCAAAGCCAGATTACTAGTCTTTAATTAGACAATTAATATAATAAGCCAATACTTCAAACAAGGGAAACACTCTCTGCGGTCTCGCCTGCATTACGCAATTTGATATGATGAAAAATTGGGGTTGGGACATTATTTATACATGTACACATGATACTTGATAATCATTTAGTCCAAGTTTCATTGAAAAAGAACTTATATTTTCAAAATCGTAACCGGTAAAGCGGCGCCTATGTCTCGCTTTTTGCTACGCAGGCGAGACAAAAATGTTGTAACACATGATACAGTATATTTACATGAAGCAGCAGGTCCATCTCTTGCAAAACATACCACTCATTACTAGTGCTGCTGCCCCTTGTAATTCTGTTACCGTGAAATTACGTTACCAGTGTTTTAATTTGAAAAAATTATATACCTCTGAAAGCGACAACAGAAATTATGAATATGGCACTGTTTTTTTAAACTATGACCAAATAGCTAAATGGCCCTTTGAGAGCCTGAAACTTTACAAAGATAACGAATTAGAAATCAGTTACAACTTTTTCTTGTAGCATGGACCTAGTTTGACCTCCCATAGCTTAATGAAAATTTTTCAATGTTGCTTTATGTGCATGAGGTATCCCTGAACAGCAAATTGTTTACGGAATTTCGTAACAAAATTGACATATCTTTTTGGTTGGAACCGAAAAAAATATATAGCTACAAACAATATGTTTGTTTTTTCTATTGATGATTAATGAGCATGGGTGGATCTTAAAGAAAGTTAACAGTAATCTGAATTAACTCGTGTATTTTGATGGAACAGTGCAATTGAAAATGGTGTTTCGGACGTTACATTTTCCGTAAACAATGTAGACCCTCATTTAACCCATTAGAACAATGAATTATTGAGATTGTATATGTTTTGAATAAGCTTATTAGTTACTCCAATTTATTAAATTAAAAGAAAATATAATTTAATTATAGTAGCACTTTTATTAGAAATATACTAAAAATTTGAAAAAGTTGTCTCATTTTCCGTAAACAATTTTGTGTCGTCCGAAACTACGAAAGTAGCAGAAAATAGCAGGAAATATATGAACTGCAGGACCTATCTATCGTAACATTTTTTAAAACATTTAATTGCGGCTACCCACCAAAAAAAAAGAAATTTGCAATACATCACTACAATACTATTTTATAGTTAAAACCAATTTTCAGACTTTGTAACGTCCGAAACAAATGTAACGTTCGAAACAAAAAATACCAATTAAAGGAATATAATCTATATTTTAGGGTATCTGGAGTGAATAAATCATCATGAAATAAGTTATTGTAAGTCTTAACACAAGTCAAAACACATATCAGGTCTTTCAAATCCAATAATTTTGTGTAAGCTCAAGAAGGGTGTTTCGGACGTTACACTATTTGATTGTTAACACATACCGGTAGTTTGCAAATTTCAACTAATTTTCGATCATTGTTACTAGTATTAAAATCTAAAACATACACAATTTTAAAGTTACATGTAAAATGTCTCATTCTCAGGATGTACAATGGATAAGAGTTTCCTTATTTCTTATTACTTTAATGGCTGGGGATACTTCTTTATAGTTTTATTTAAGACAAAATATTTGTCAATGTTTTGCTTACATACAGTACATGTACATGTTCATGTACATGTACATGTGTTAGTGATATTATTGAATGACACACTATATAGTTTAAGGCAAAAAGTAAATTTTCTCAGGAGTTTTGATGACTACAAGTCTACAATTGCTATTAGCTTCATATTTCGCTCTGTTATGTAGATCACATGCATGCATGTACATGTACATGTAAGCATTTATAAGAACACGTTCTTGAAATGAACAGTATAGTAGTATACCTTACATAGATTGGGTAGTCCCTGAAGACAAACTAGGTATAAGATCAATGTGCTAAACTAATCAAAACTGCACAATTTTTTCAATAAATGTATTTTTCTTCAAACAATTAATGTAACTTAGGTCAATAATACCTAAAGAAAGCAACTAACTTGAATAAAGTTATGATGTTAACAGTGTGTAACGTCCAAAACACTAGTGGTGTGACATGAAAATTATTAGGCAATGCACTGGTTCCCAATTTGTGGGTATGTATTTATCTTATATCACCGGTTCTTATATTAAAATAAGTTTGACCCAAGAAAAACGCACTTTACCTATTGAAATAAAAACTTGCTATTGTCAAAACCCTAATTTAGAGCTATTTTTCACTTTCAAGGTATACAAAATCTGTATTTTTCAAGGTAGAAACTCAGAAATTTGCAGGAATAACCTCTGAAACATATTCTTAAAAACCAACATATTTAATGGTGTAGTTAATAGCAAATGAGTTTTATATCACAGTTATTAGATATGCTATAGTTCACAATAAAATTGTAAGAACTCAAAGTATTCATATCTGGTGAATAAATAGGGAGATAGATTAAGCTCCGAAATTTGCACTTCTCAAAAATATGAATAAATCTAGTCCTGATCCTAAAAATACACGTTTACAGTAAGTAAACCCGTTTAGACCCATCAGATTGCAAGATTCTTAGTACCCGGTATGCGGGATATAGGCCTATAAATCATATGATTGATTTTTATCTTAATAGTTTATCAAAAGTCACATTCTTCATGATTTAACTGGAAAAAAATACTTTATATGAGTGCATCCACTCTAATATCAATCTAACTTCGATGCTGGTGTGAAGAAATAAGAATCTTACGGGGAAAATAGGAAATTTATATCAATATAAAGAAAACGATTACTATTAGTGGATAGTGAGGACATGACGTCACAATTTCCAATTTGTCTTGTGATTTTCATTGTTCCATAGTTTTAGATCTAGACTAGATCTAGATTCTAGTAATCTAGATCTAGATCTAGATCTACAGACTTTTTCAAAAAATCACAACTTAATTTCTTATTAAATATCCAATTTTACTCATACTTTTTTGATTGGTTTATTAATCTTTACAAACATTACAAATTAGCAAATCATTTGCATAGGTCTAGTCTAGGCTAGACTAGATTCTAGAATCTAGATCTAACGTTAGGGGTCTATATTAAAAAATGAGAAAAATTACTGTAAGATTTAGATTCTCCATTTTTTTAGCTTTCCAAAGATAGTCTAGTCTCTAGATTCTAGATCTAGACCTCTACTCTAGGCCTCTAGGCCCTAGACTAGATGGCTATAGATCTAGAGTCTAGGCCTTTTAGTTTTAGTTTTAAAGAGTTTTAATTGAAGTAAATCATACTTAGATCTAGGTATAAACTCAAAGCAATGTAATTTACTGACCTCCATCTTATCTTTGTTCCGCCGGACGCCAACAACAGGCTTGTCGTAGACTTCCCCAGTCCTCTTCGAACGTGCCGGTTCTCTACCGACTTTCAGGAAGAGAGCGTCGACTCCAAGTTCTTCGTCTCTAACAACCGTGTACTCCTCACTCTCGCTCGAACTAGGCTGGCTCTGGGTACCGGAAAGCGAAAGCGACCACAGACCTGTCTGCTTACTCTTTGCCGTTGCCATCTCGACGAAGGCGAAACTAACTCTGGCAAGTTCCGAAGTTAATGAAATCAAATTAAAAACGCGTTATAAAAGGAAAACGTAACAGATTATGGACATGCAACCGAGAATGACGACGTCGAATCGAAGAATGAAATGAAATCTGGCGCTGGCGCGTGTACCATACATGAGACGACAAAGCTAAGCTAAGCTCTAGCTGTTTACAAACAATGTACGCATGACTGGCCGGCGACCGGCCGCGCATGGCTATTGTTCTCTCTATATACTCTCTCTAGGTTTGTTTGGAGCAGGGACTTGGGATACAAGTTCCTGGTTGTAGCTAGTCTGCAGACACAGACCCTTGGCAGCCATTATGAGTAAAAACAATGTCTAAATTTCAAACATGAAAGTACTGAGTTATGTCATGCAGCTGCTTCTGACACAGTGAAATACTGGAAAAGAAACATACCACATCAAGCAGAATCTGATTATCCTGATTATTTCATGTGGTTTTATTCAAGAGTAAAGTTGAGTCTGTGTTTACAGACTTGGTTTGAGATAGAACTGATAATCCCCGTGCGAACAATGGTCTGGGGAGAATATGGGTGTATAATCTCCCTGGTGTATGTATATGGAAGTAAATGGGTGTATCATAATCGTAAATTGCAGACCTTTTAGCTATCTATCAGGGTGGTTACTTAATTTGCAAAAAGCCACCTTTCAGAAAGAAAACGTGCATTTTTTGCAGAAAATAGAAGACAAGACACAGTTTTGGGCTATGAAGTATAATTGTTTAATAATATCAGGGAACCAGCTGTGTGCGCGGTCGCAAAATATGAGCAATACTATCTTTAAAAAATGCAAATACATGTATTAATTTCACTAAGACTCTTAAGAGCATAAATCGGAGGGAAAGTTGAAAACAAACGATATTAATTTTATATGTGTTTGAAAACTTGATTTTTCTGACTTCCGTTGAATCTATCCGTGTTTAAAATTTGTAAACTTGGCAGAGTTCAGAATGGGCCTTAATTTGGACAGCATCCCATATAACGTTTATTATACGCATAATAATGCTACGGTCTTGATATGTAATTTCTTTCTTGTTCCCTGAAATCTTATTCGATGTTTTGTGGAGTTCATCGGCATGAGACACTTTCTTTAGTTGCAAACCCAGGCATGATGTGACCGATTCCCCATGAAGTGCAACCAAATCGTTCGGACAACCATGCATGCCTATATTTTAATAAATAATATAAACCAACTGCAATTGTGTACGAACATGTAAAGACATGGCCCCTAACCGAAGATAGGCCTAAATACATTCGATATAATAAACTTCACATGATTGTTGGTAAATAATATAGTAGGCCTATATCATTCATAGCAATTTTTGGTTTCATTCCAAATCTATATTATCGGCCATAATTATTATGGCCCATACAAGCTATGGACGAACCAGTATAGCGAATGGTATGTCTATTGACCGAGAAGAATTTCTCTTTTTGAACTTGCATTTGACGAGCATTGCACGTACCGAGACATAACGTCCTTGTTTTCAATCGTAACGCAAAGTGAATTCAATTTTTTTTCACTACCGTCACTTCGTGAAAAGTTTGAACACGACTTTGCATGAGATTCCTTGCAAAATCTAATGATGGGTATATAGTTTTCAAATTTTACTGTTCATACAGGATATACCATTTTCGCCCATTTTGACGCTAAATTAGTACACATTTTAAAACAAATAATTATTTTAAAAATGGCCCTATAGGATAGGTACGGGTTTGGCAGCTTCAGCGGCCCCCACGCGCCCCCGCCGTAGGCCTATAATGGTTTTTAGGATTTTGTTTTTTTATTCATGCAGCACTGTCACCAAATGGTGGGGCGCGAATGGCGGCTCAAGAAAGATTGACACATTTTCTATGAGCACTTTTCGTCGGGTCAGGGGGGGGGGGGTGTACGGCTGGCTGGTCAAGTGTCCCCCTGGATCCGCCAAACTTCTTCAGGTTTCCCCGAGTCCATGTGATCGCCGCCCCCGCACGGCGCCCCTGGTTGAACTTGTGAATTTGTATTCATCTCTACTTCATTGTGCGGTTTATAATTATGTTTTATTTTGAGTTAAAGAGCTAAAGAGAGAGTTGGGTTGGGTTTTGCGGCTTCAGCGGCACATCCCGTCTGATGTGTACTAAATCTGAGTATCCCCCCCCCCCCCCCCTCGGGTACCCATCACAGAACATCATGAGTTACATCTCTTAGCCTGTCAATAGGCTGTATATAATATTGGAGGTACTATGGGAATTGGAATAGCACCGGCCGACGGGGGCTGATCAAAGATTTCCCAATAATATGAATAAGACGCCCTGAAATTTGAAAATCACACAAATTCCAGGGATTCCTGCAATTTGCGGCTGCCGAAGCAGAAGTGACAATTAATCATAAACAGTAATAATCAAGCTCAGTGGCGTACAGGGGCGTCTCCAAAAGGGGGGGGTGTGGGTGTGCGACACCCCCCCCCCACCTGTCAGGATATTGTCGGTGAAATTGCGCTGCCGTCGGGAAAAAAAGGAAAAGGGGAGGGGGAAAAAGAGAAAGAGAAAGGGAAAGAGAAAAAAAGGAAAATAAAGGAAAATAAAGGAAAGAAAGGAAATAAAGGAAAAGAAAGGAAAGAAAAGAGAAGAAAGAAAGAGAAAAAAGAAAGAGAGGAGGGAGAAGAAAGAAAGTAAAGATAGAAAAGAGAAAAAAGGAGAAGAAAAAAAAAAAAAAAAAAAAGAGAAAAAGGGAAAGAAAAGAAACGGGGATGAAAGAGAGGAGAGACCGAGGAGATCGAGAGAGGGGAGAGGGGGAGTTAAGAGCCTGAGAGAGGAGTGGGAGTAAAAATAATCGTTAGGCTCTACACCACCACCCCTACACTGAAAAAGGTCTAGCGACGCCCCTGGTGGCGTACGCATGATTTTTTTCAAGGAGAGGGGGGGGGGGGGGGTTAACATTTTCAAAGTCAGGCCGAAAATATCACAACGACTCAGTCAGCCGCTGAATAAGCGGGGGGGGGGGGCACGTTCTTCCTCAATTTTCTTTTAGAGGGGGAAGGGGGTCGGGGGTCGTCCCCGCCGGAAATGATTTTGAAAAAGTGCACACGAGAAATGTATAGCAAATACTGACTATGAAAGACTGCAACACACTTTTAGGCTCTAGCAGGAGGGCCCAAGAATGCAGCATTCAGATACTATAGGCCTAGATATAAAAATGCAAAAATCTTTTCGCTCCCTCGCATTTAAAATGTAGGCCCACAAGTAAATATAGGCCTAGTAGAAAATCTGTATAGGCCTACTCCGTTTGTATCACCGCATGATACCATCGGAATACAGATTTTCCTTCACATATTTTGTCCCCCCCCCCCCCCGGCCCCACGGCCATGAAATCGCTGATGGTAGTAGTAGTAGCAGCAGCTACTTTTTCTTTTTATCACCAAGGGCTTATTATTGTGCCAAATCGATGTCATGTACATGCAGGCAGTATGTATATTATCATATAGGCCTATTTTATTACGATGTTGGAAATTAAGAAAAAGAGAGTCTGGAAAAATAACGCCTTTCTCAGTTGCTAGCTCGTTCACAAATTGTGGTTTGGAATATGAGTTCTATTAGTAACTGTAAAACCATGGAGCTAATACATGCACGTTTTGATCAATTGAGGGTCCGGTTTCTCGAAACCGTCATAACACGCGTTTTTAATTTTAGATTTTTATGACGGTTTCGTGATACGGGGCCGGGGGCCGCCATAGGGTCAGCTTCCACCTCACACCATTTTGGATCCCACTCGCAACGACCATTTCCGTAGAGATCAGTGTCAACGACCCGGATTTCGATGCCCGTACACCGTACACACACACACGCGCACACACCACCACCACCACACACACAAGTTCAACACCGGTCAGGCTTACGCTTTGTATTATACTAGATATACTGCGCACGTGTAGTTAATTTGTATACAAAGCCGTGTACGCGTGCAGTTCTACTTTTGTTTTAATAGACCAAGGAGTTACTAGGTCACACCGCAGCTCAGTGCAAATTTGTCAGTCTAATTCTCGATCGAGATCACACTTCTTGATGTTATTTTCTCTTGCTGAATGACAGTGACATCTCACGATTGCAATGTTGGCTCAGTCTAACTCTAAGAAAAAAAGAATCTACGACGGCGACGAAGCACGGCATCTTTTCGAAGCTCTTTATTTTACAGAACCTGCAACAAGTGCTGATGATACTACGGTCGAGCAGCGTACAACAGGGCTTAGCCCTGACAGTGACACATCTACTAGCCTTGACAGTTCCGACTCTGACACTGAGCTGAGTATTGACGGTTTGACATCGTCTCCGTGTTCGAGGACTACAACAAGCAACGTTGCCAACGATTCACAAGGCAATGCCGGTGTTAAAAACAAGGTATGTCTCCACTTCATGACTTGTACTCGGGGGTTAGATTTCTAGACCTGGCTAAGCTAGGCTAGAGCCTAGATAGAGGTCTACTAGTCTAGATCTAGATCTAGGTAGTCTAGACTATAGATCTAGAGCCTAGCCCTAGAGGGGGTTAGTCAGTTAGTCAATACCGTGTGAGTCAAACAAAATTTACACCTAGAAAATTGCTAATTATTAGATCTAGATCTAGACCTACATGTAGGTCTAGTATGAAATTGAAAGAGTGTTTATCCCAAATCATTTGGTATCATTTGGATCCGGGCTAACTCGGACCAGGGGACAACTCGGCCCAGCTGCAAAAACTGTCATTTTTGTAATTTTACCCTAACTCTAACCCTAACCCTAACCCTAAACCTAACCCTAACCCTAACCCTAACCCTAACCCTAAACCTACACTGGGCCGAGTTAGCCCGACTCCCATTTGTGTGTGGTATGTCACGCTTGGATGAACAGTGATGCCTACAGTAGGCTATGTATTATGTGAGATTAGCGGAGTGAGAGAATGAATTGAATGTATCAAATGAAATGCATTGTAATGATTGCATAGACCCTAATATGCTTTTGCAGGAGCAAAGTCACACACATACGAGCGCACAAATTTTTGTTGATATTCGATATTTGTTATGTGTGGCATGCTCTTAATTTTGTTCTTGTGAACACATCACCCCAGTACTTCGCGAATTGCATTGGTTGCCGGTGACATACCGCATTATGTACAAAATCTTAGTTT